TCCCATAACTGATGTGCAGGCCACTCAGTCAAAGAGCATAAGATACACAACTTACGAGCATGCTTGGATATAAATTTGTTTTTGTTTTGATTTGGGTTGGTTAAATTTGAAAAAGTAGGTATGGTTAGTTGTTAGTGGATATAATAAAATAATATTTAAAATAAAATAATTAAAATTAAAATTCATGTATAAGTAAGAGAGAGAAAATGTGATGTGATAGTTAGTTAAATTTATGTGAGTAGATGAATAGTGAATTAAGGTTGATGTTGTGTGTAAGAATGATTGATTGATATTATTTAATGAGTAATGCTACAAGTACATAATGGTGTACATAAGGGTGTACATAATACTCACATTATGTGGGACCCACAAAAAACAAAAAATCAAGTGGACCCCACACCATGTGAGAGTTATGTACACCTCTATGTACATTTATTATGTACATTTATTATTTAATTATATTGATAATATTGATGATAGTGGGTTGAGTTAAAGTTGAGTTAAAAAAGTGGTTGAGTTAAAAATGTTTGGATTTTTTTGAGAAATTTTTGTATCCAATCATGCTCGTAACAAATTTCAGAAGTTAACCAACAACAAATAAATACAGTATAGTACATTACACTTTAAATTAACAAATTTTTAGTAATGTCTCCACTTTTAATACTTCAATGCACAATATTATTACATCTGCGGTGATGAGGAGAACATAATTAATGTATACAGGAAGAATGTGTTTATCAACATTCTCTTTCACATTCTAGTCAACCAATTGATAGAGGGAGAGAAAAATATTATTACCAATTACAAATTATCTAATTATTTAATTTATTTTCTTTCTTATTTTTTTTTTCTTCGACCAAGTGGACAATATTGTGTTTAATTATGTTATGCATTGGAGATAATTTTTTTTTATTTAAAGTTGTGAACTTAACAATTGTATTATGTGTTTCACAATTATGTGTTTCACAATCCATCTAGTTAATTGGCATTTGTCAGAATATTTATGTATTGGAGATGCTCTTATCGAACTACCTACATTGCCAAAATGGTATATAGATTGGATTATCGAAAAATATACACCACAAGCATTTATTACTTTTTACATTATAATATTACCATACTTAACGGTTTAGATTTTGCTAACACATATAATTCGGTAAGTCAATTAGTAAATCAATTCTTATCAAGCATGATGTGTTGTTGCACCTCATACTAGCTCTCCAACATCCCTCGACCGTTTTGCTCTCCGGAGACATGCAATGACGCAGGGAGGTGTTGCCGACCTTAAACCTCTGACGATCAAGTCAGTAAAGTGATATGGAAAACTGTATAGAAATATATTGAAAGCGTAAAATATGTAAAGTTGATTATCTTTACCTTTTACCAATTTTACCTATTTATAGAATATCATTAGTTTCCTGAACAAGTCTCTGCTCTGCCCGATTGCCCTTTCTTTCCAAAAGGGATGCCCGTCGATTACTAGGCTACCGTAGGTCTGTTTGTTACTTATTTAGTATATATTCCCTTTAGTAGATGACCCTACACGTGTCCCTTCTTGACAACCTAGACTAGACCTACTATGCAGGTCTATCAACTTCCTACTCAAGTCATTTACTGAGCTACAATATGCCGAGCTGCTCGATGTCCGAGCTATAAATATGTCGGTCCTGCCGTGTTATCTGAGCTCCCTATATGCCGAACTACAAACATTGTTAAGTTGTCCGAGCCCCCTATATGTCGAGCTATAGATACTCTTTAGTTATCCAAACTATCCGAGCCCTTATTACCAGCCCTTATTACCATTCAACCTGCTGGCCTAGCTAATCGTCAATCTATAATTCGAGCTAACCATGACCGATTCAATCGAGCTATATCTTTATATGCTATATCAATGGACACCACTCCAAAAAGTCAACAAATATAAAAAAAAAATGAAAAAAAGGGAAACACATAAGGAATAAATTACCTAAATTATCATCCACGGTATCGACTCACGAGTGCATGTCCCAATTTCTCAAAATTTCAAACATAAAAA